GTGCTTTTACGCCAATACTACAAGTACAATATTTCTCTGTTGTTGATAATTTATTACTCAGATTATTGTGTGTGGATACTTTCATATTTTCTGCTCAGGTCATCAACCATTGACAGACATACTTTATACAATGGACTTTTTGTTACTTGCCATTTGATTACATGCAGAAATTCAGGTTAGTCCCGGACATACAGTGAAGTGTTGCAGAAAATACAACAGGAACAATATTCTAACACACTGCGGAGGGATTTTCCAAAATTCACTCAGTGAACTTTTGGTCAGTAATATCAAACCAGCCCATACTGTATAGAGAGAATGTTGATGTTTGTTTACATGAGACAAATTCATTTGTTTCAGAAAACCCCTTTTCAGTGTGTACAAAAACAATGATTCAAACATTGGTAGGCCAATAGTAGATAAGATCGCAGGAACCATCATGATGCAAACTCTAATTGTAAAATAATTAGGAAGTCATAACATTTCTTCAAAACATTGGTTTCCATATTAGAGGATTTGAAATGATGTCATACTTGTTCATAACTTTAACTGGGTGGTGTCTGTTATGTTGTTTCTAAGCACATTTTGTTCAGGTATTCACAACTTTGGTACACAGAAGAGGCTAAATTAGCACATATCATGGTGTATTAGTTGTTCGTTAAATAGGAAAAACAATCTGTATTAGTTACATCAGATTCAATTCCTCTTTTCTGGTTTCCAAATGCAATTTTTTGAGCTAAGAAGGATCTTTCCCCTTTTCTTAGCCTCTCTCTGTAAAACAAACTTACTTACACACAGCAGGAAGCATATGCACATGCACGTTTCAACTTGCTCCCGAAAAGAAAACAGAAACGCAGCAAAAATGTAATGCATCGGATTCCCTGATCATTGACTGTAAATCACACTGTGTGTCACTTGTTTTGGAAAATGCTGTGGTTTGAAAAAGCTTAACTTTAATTGCAGATGAATACAAGTATTTAATCCCAAAATGAAATCTTGAGCAAATTACCTTGAGCAAAAGCCTTCTCTTTGTGTTTTAGGTGTTTGTCACAAAGTATTACAAAATAAATGAAGTTATGCTTTTCAACACGGATGATATTAGCAGTCTTAGAGGGTGTAACAACTGAAAATAGACAGAGAATGAGAAGAGATAGAAAGATAAGGTGATGAGTCATATCATATTTCATCGTTTCCGCTGAACTGTCTATTTCTATTATTGCTTTTTACATCAGGAAATGAAAATACTAAAATAGGTGTTATAGGTATGTGAAAAGGATGATTACAAATTAAAAGTCCATCCAGTAAATTTAAACTGTGATCGATATTTAAACAAAAGAGTAGCCATAATAACACAAAACACTTCACAAAAAAACCCTGTCAGTATCCTGCTGTCACAATCAAATTCATTCATATTATGGCGAAGCCTAGACAAAATGTCAATCTGAGTCAAAATCAATTCATGTTTTGAAACAGAGTTGGAAAAATGTTTTACCTATATATATATATATGTATCATATGTGTGTGGTGCAGTGCATTGTGCGTTGGTGTTCGGATCAGGGGGTCACAGGTTCAAACCCCACTGCAGTCAGCATGTCGTGTGTGCCTGAGACACTTCACCCCAAATTGCTCCTGTGGGGATTGTCCACAGTATTGAGTATGTAAGTTGCTTTGGATAAAAGTGTCTAACATGTAACATGTAATGTAATGTGATGTGTGTAAATTTGGTTAAAAGAAAGTATGGTTTGTGCCATTCAATCATCTAACATTGAACCCCTTCAGCAAATGAAAACCTGTTCAGTCATGAAATCTCTACAGACTGCCTGCATTGTAGAATAAAGAATAATTCCTCCCCTTTGGTAATGCTGCTTTTGTGTGACTTGGCACTTACCAGCCGTAATACAACCCTGACATTCACACACTTTCTGGCTTGAGGTCATGACACACGCGTCGTACATATACGTGTCTGTGTGCTCACAATGCCTCTCAAAGTCCAAACGCTGTTCTCTTCCAAGAGTGTGAAATCACTGCCAGGCAAAGTCAGGTCATCCTGCCTAAACCAAAGCTGGATTTGATTCCAAAAAATGTGGTTTACGTTATTTATTTTGTCATGCACCTTCATGTGCTAAGGCATAGTGGATTTACGGTACAGGACATCAACAATTCAGTTGATCTGGGGAAAAAAAATTCAGACAGAGATTTTCGTTTTATTCACTGAGACCTTTGACCTTTGTTGAAATTGTCTTTCATACAATTGTGCATCACTAGCCAATATGTTTGTAATATGGGTTTGTAAGAACTCTTAGACATAACAAAAATGTGCCTTTTGCATCTTGAATATTAGCCAAATGTATGATTAACTTCAATCAATCAATCAATGTTTATTTATATAGCCCAATATCACAAATGTTACATTTGTCTCAGTGGACTTCACAGTTTGTACAGAATATCAGTATGACAATACGACACCCTCTGTCCTTAGACCCTCACATCGTACAAGGAAAAACTTCCAGAGAAAACCCACAGTTTAAAGGGAAAAATGGGAGAAACCTCAGGGAGAGCAACAGAGGAGGGATCCCTCTCCCAGGACGGACAGACGTGCAATAGATGCCGTGTGTAAATTGAAAAGATAATACATTTGCAACATAGGTAGTCCAAATGTTTGGAAATGCATGTGTGTATAATAGGAAGATGAATCCACGAGGATATCCATCCAGGACTTATTGCAGAGTGGTTAGCATTGTTGCCCAGTAACAATGTTTGTATTTCTGAAGCTCAGCCTTTTCTGTAAGTTTGCATTGTTTCCATCTTTACTTTGAGTTTCTCTGGTTTCCCCCACATTTAAGAAACAAAACAGCTCAAAAATATGAATCGCTTGAGATATAAATGTAAGCTCAGTCTGCAAATCTCCCTTTTATCTGATCCAGGAACCTGTTCAGGGTATTTGTCTGCATGCAGTCATGTGTATGCTGGGTCCAGGTTTTCACAACTGAAAATAAGATTAATCAGGAAGAAATAGAGAATTAAGAAATTATTATTCAGAAAATGAATTATATAATTTGGAGAAATACTAAGAAAAGGAGCAATGTGCACCCTCTGTTAATGTTTTTATCCCACTCTATTTAGGCGTCAGTTGCTGGCAGAGCTGGTGGAGGATGAGAAGGTTGCCATGGAGATTGCCCGTCTAGAGGAGGAGTTTCTGCGTCTAACAGAGGAGAACCGCACACTGATGACTGTCCACAACGAGTGCGCTCAGCAGCTGGAGAGGCTCTGCTTACCCAATCAGACGAGGCAGGACTCCTCGTGACCTCTGACCTCCCGCAGAACCTGAGGCCTCCCAACATCCAGCTGACGCCAGGCAGGAAACCAGGCAGAAATAAAGGCTCAGCTAGTGCTCATTCAACACAAATACAGTCAGTGGTTCAGATAATTACACAGAAAGGTGCCGTGGTCATTTGTTTGAGATGCACTGTCATCATCTGCTGTTGTAGTGATTCTACCAAGCTATGACACAAGGCCACTTTTCTGGATTGTGTTATTATGTGATCTTGCAGAACCTTCCTGGTCGTCATTGCAAATACCTCACAGTATATATTCATACTCAGCTGCTGTGAATGTGACCAGATCATCTGAAATCTGTCTCAGGTCCTGTGGAGACTCAGATATTTTACCTGAGGTCTGTGGAGGTAGCATGAGGTGGTATGATGTGGTCCAAATGTTGTATTTTGAGGATTGTTCCCCCCCCCCACCTGCTCCCTCTCTTCCACCTATTGCCCGTCAAGTTCCTGTTGTGATAAAAAGGATATGAGACGAGTGGTTTAAAAGTGTCAGGGACCGGGTAATAATAGCCTTTTGTGAGGAACAGTAAAAGAAGAAGGGTGATTACGCTCATACGTTTCACAATGAGCATCTGCTGTGGCACAACACTGTAAGAATTGTACATTTGATTAATGTAGCGTGTCTCATCCACCTGGGTATTATACAACAAGATTAAACGTTGATTATTGCCTGCGTCCATTATTAAAGTGAATTTTATTTTAACACCAGCATCAGTTCCTTAGTTTCATTCCCAGCGCTGTTGTGTTTGGTGTCTGCTTTGCGTCCATATTGCAGTGCTTACATGGAAAAGGGAACTAGATTTTCTTTCACGAGGAGATTAGCTCATTGTGGAATTATGACAAAGTCGCTGGATTGGCTAGTTTGACTCTGGTAGCCTTCCTTCTTCCTTCTTTGAATCATGTGACATTGGCAACAATGCTTTGTGGTGATGATTAGTCCACTTTATTTTTACTTTCAATGCCAGGAATCCTGGCTTTGAAGGTGTACACAGAGAACTCACTCGTAGTCATTACATGATTTTTCTGCCTCTAATAATCACGACCCAACCTTTTACAGTTTCTTGCACAAAAGCCTAAAAAATAAATCTAAGAAAAAAATTACAGCTGTTCATGTATTTGACTTCTGCAAGGAAGGCAGACTCATATACACAAAAACACATGACGGAGACTTGAACTGATCTCTTTGAAAGATTGCTGCTGCCTAGAAGAACAGCATAATATGAGAAGTACTGAGAAATGTTTAATTTTAGACTAGTATAATCTCCTCCTTGTTCTTGCAAAAGTTCATTTTCAGTTGTTTTTAACCCTCTGTTATCACACCATCTGTTCACAAAATGCATTGTCTGAAATGAGACGAGTTAGTCCACACTTACTCTGGAACAAACAAATGGACAAAAGACTAAATTGTGTTTAAACACTTGGTTTATAATTCCAAACCCTTACTCTGAATTATTTTCTTGGTAAATTCATAAATGGCTTATCTGGGAAAAGCCCGTTATTTTCCCAGACAGATCTAAGAGTGGGATTGGTACGGACGGGAAAACTGCTTGCTCATCCCATATCAGCAGGAGTGCATGAATCAGCGCTTGCTCTGTTCCACCCAGAGTTGTTGCGACATAGCCTACACACACAGACACACTCCCTCTTTCTCCCCCTCCCTCCCACATACTCACACGCAGGCCATATTACTGAGTCAAGCTCGGTTTTTAGTTTGTAGCAGAGTTGTGATAAGACTTTCTGAGAACCGTAGCCCGGTCTGACGGCATTCCATTTAGAAATAACCATGTGTGCTCAGAAGATGGGACTTTCTTTAACACTTCTCTAAGAAAGCTGGATATATAAAGGCGGCATTGAAAGGTTGGTATGGTTTTTTTATGTTTGACCTTTTATGTATCCCAAAAAAGGGGAAATGGTTAACTGTAACAGTGTGTGTTTGTGTGTATACATATAGATGTCTGTGATGGCTGCTCAACGGTCGTCCGTGTTTACATTTGAGTCTGCGGCGCATTCCTCCCATGTGCTGAGCCGCCTGGACGAGCAGCGTCACCGGGACACGTATTGTGATGTTACCGTGGTGGTGGAGGGCCACAGTTTGAGAGCCCACCGCTCAGTGCTCGCTTCCTGTAGCGAGTACTTCTCACACAGGATTTCCTCCCTCACACAGCATGGAGCTGTCATCAGTCTGCCACAAGAGGTGAGAGGACACCTCAAGATACATTAAAGTAACGTAGAGAAAGTGAAAAACACACAAGCCGTGCTGCCAAACACACCCCTGTGTAAATGTGAAGTGAGAAGTATGATGAATGGTTCATTTCCTCAATAGTGTTGATGGTAAATAGGCTGACTAGATTTGTTTTAACCTATGACATATTAGTATGCTGTTTAGTGTAAATACTACCATGACACACACTTGACTGACTGCAGTTTTCCTTCAAATGCTTTTTTTTTAACAATACAATTATTGTGGTTCTTAGTGGTTTCCTGTTTCCTGAAGAGATATTTAAACACCAAATATATTCCCAGTGGGTCTTAAGGAATAATACTAAAGTTAGAAAGAAGAAAAACTAAGACAAAAATAAAAAGAAGCAGAAGCAGAAAAGTGTTCAACCAATTTGATCTGCAAGAGGAAACCGCTGGCTTAGATAACAAAGCTTTTTTAATTAGATTTTTCTGTGTCTTCGAATTATTCCACAAGTACAGTGTTTCTTTCACAAATTTAATTTGCATTTACACAATTCTTTAATACACTGGTACTCAGATTCTTGGTAACTGCAAAAGCCACTGAAAAAAGATAGAAAATATATTATTGTTTACATTTATTGGTTGTTGTGTCAGTAAAATCTTACAATCCTTGGCCTTATTTCACAAAACACATCTGGTCAGAGAAGCTTTATTTCCCTGGCTGACTGGCATATTGTTGCCTTCTGACAGAACATATTATAGAATTATGTATTGCTGTCCTTGAGAAAGATAATGCTCATTTATATTGCTTGTCCTCTTTCACAGGTGACAGTTGCTGGCTTTGAACCTTTGCTGAATTTTGCCTACACATCCAAACTTCTCTTCGGGAAAAACGATGTCTTAGAAATACGCAATTCAGCTTCCTTTCTTGGTTTCAGAGACCTAGACGAGTCATGCTTTGATTTCCTCCTCCCCAAGTTCTTCTCCAGCAATGACTCTGCCCCTTTCCCGAGAAAGACCTGTTGTAAGAAGATATGTAAGAGACGATTGTTAAAGGAAGACATTGACTCTGACAGTGTTTTGTTGGATGAGAAAGAAGTAGAACCAGTTGATGACTCACCATATACACAGGAAGTGGCTTGGCACTGTGACAAATCAGTGAACAACAAAATGGGAAGTCTGAACAAAGCAAGCACTCTTCCACCTGAAGCTGAAGGGACCAACATTGAATATACGCAATGTCCAAAGTATCGCAAGTTCCAGCTAGCTTGTTGTAAGGAAAGTTGCGTCACAGATAAAAGTCTGAACAATCCTGCCACAGTTATCAGGGACTTGCGGGACCTCTCCTGCTCGCCCCCCTCCAGCAGTGCTAAGAGCAAAAAAGAAACTGATGTTGAATTCCCTCATATTTCCACCTCAAATTCCACCACACAGAGCGAAGGAGGGGCTGATGAGCCATGGAAAAATTACAAGGAAACAGAGAATGGTGGGGAAGTTGATGTGATTGAGAAAGACACACATGAAAGGCAACGCAAGTGGATTAAGAAGGAAAGAGAGATGAATGTGGGGGAAGAGATCAGCTCTTCAGACAGATCCACTGTCAAGGAAGTCTCTTCAGGGTCAAGCATATCGCTGGGCGAGAGGTCATCAGGGTTTATATTGAACCATTGCCCCCTGAAGACCTTTGTTGAAGCCCCTGCAATCACTCTGTCACAGGGGTTTGCCGTGGACATTACAGAGGGCAAGAAAACAAATAAATCTGGTGCACTGCCGCCAGTATCCATTACCCATAAGGCAGAGGGACAGGTTGAAGCTGAGGTAAAAATGGCAGACGCTGAGATTGATTTGGGCTGGCAAGACAGAGGCAGCATGGAGAGCGTGACCCTGTCAGTAGATAATGCCAGAGAGAGGAGCTCAGAGGAAAGGGAGATGGCCGAGCACCTGGCGAGGAGGCTGGGGTCCGACGTGGAGCCCGATGCAGGAAGTTCCTCCGATACGGGGAGCGGACGGGCACAGAGCAAGTCTTTAGAGTGGAGTAAGTGCCACAACATCAGCTCCACAAGCACCGGCTGTCCCTTCTTCCAGGATCTGGAGCAAGGCAGGTGTGTATGGAAGGGAGCAGAGCTGTCTGAGTGCGAGGGGGGCTCTCAGTCAGGTGTGTCATCCTTCAACTCGGGGGAGGATGGAGAGTGGGAGACGGAGACAGAAGGAGACAGTGAGGCCTACGCAAGAGAGCGGGCCAGACAGGTGAGCGGTTAAAAACCATGAATCAAGTCTGCCTTTTCTCTACCGATCTGCTCTGTTCTTTGATATGTTTATGTATGCTTCCTGCTGACACCTAACTGGGAAGTTCATGTGCTGAAAATAGTCTGTGTCAGTAAACGTCAGCAAGCTCACCCCACATGTAGATCATTTCACTATGTTTGCTTGAGCTTGCATTCAACAGAAAGCAGAATCACTTAAGTGCCAAGTTAATTATTCACCAAGTTAATGATGTGTGTGTGTGTGTTTACTTGTGTTTGTTGCGACGGTGTGCATAATTAGCTCAGAGTCCAATTCATGAAATTGACAGCTATGCCCATTGAGTTAACAATGAACACGCACAAAGGACAGATTTGAGGAAACTCTCATGTTTCTGTACAGAGAGGTTAAACAAAGCTGAGGTCACTTCACAGGAGAAACTAAGCTTTTATTTACTCTAGATAAAACACTTCATGGTGCTGCTCCAATAAACCAGCGAGTGTACACTTCCTGTCACACATTGTCCAGAAGCAATAACCCAGCACCCAACCTCTGCCTATAAAAGTTATCTCAGAGGAAATGATTAACATCTTGGTAAAAAATTAACATGAGTGTATTTGAACTCTATATTAATTTCCTTATTTTGAGCAATTACAGCTCCATGCATGTGTTTGATCATTACATATCTTTATTCATAGTATTTTAATTCAAAGGAGGATTTCCTAAGATTTCAAGTTGACAATGATAATTAGTCCTTATGATGTCAATACAACCAAATCAAAGCTGTTTCCACAACCCTGCTGCTTTAAAGTAGGGGTGTTTGTACCACATTCCCATGTCTTCTAAAGTGTGACATCATGCAATATAGGATTGATTTAGCACCATCTTGCTTTTCTCTCTTGTGAAACCTTTATTTCCTGTGTGCGTGTCCTCAGGTGCAGTTGCCATTCTCTGTTGAGTGGATTGTTGATCTGAGCAGAAATGACTTCCAGCAGCTGCTGAAGCAACAGGTCTTTACCCGAGAACAGCTGGAGTTTGTTCACGATATGAGACGCCGCAGCAAAAACCGCCTCGCAGCTCAGCGTTGCCGCAAGAGGAAACTAGACTGCATATATAATCTGCAGTGTGAAATCAACAAACTGGTAAAAAAAAAACGAAAAACCTTCTCTTTAAATCAGCAGTTACTTTCCAATCCGCTTCTTGTTTACTCATTTAGATTGCATGTGCTGCTTGTGTGTGTCACAGAAGACAGAGAGGGAGACACTGATGACGGAGAAGAGCCATCTGAGCCAGATGAAGTCCAAAGCATGTCACAATGTCTCTGCGTTATGCCAGAGGGTCTGCAGCGAAGCCAACCTGCAGCCGGAGCAGCTCCAGGTGTTGGCCAAATACAGTTCCCCGGACTGCCCTCTGTCCTCTCTCTCTACTCACATGGACGCTCTCTTCTCACAGCCTGGGCTGCTCCTCCAGCCTCACGCTAAACGGTCAGATTGTCTGGTTGGCCATGATGAGTATATGGCGTCTGATGAGGCTTCCAGCTCCAGAAAGGATACACTCACCAGAGATGATCATCATTCGCTTTAGATACAGCAAAAACCAATAGTATTGATTATGATGTCAAACTAATGATTCCCTAAAGACTTAACTGCAGACTTTGGACTGAGGACAGGCTGTTTTATAAAGCAGTGGCATACTTTTGATACATTTATATTGAGTGGTTGCAATCAACGAACATTTTAATGAACTCCTGCTACCCTTTTTTTATTTAAAACACAAGTGTTTAATTGCGAGATCAGGAATGCATTCCAGGTGTCCAAAACTATTCATTTTACTTTTACACCAATGATAAGTCTGTAGAGCAAATGTTTCACCCCTGGCAAAGCGCTTATTAGACTTTGTTTTCAGGTGAAAGCTGATCGGTACCTGCTCACAAATAAACCCAGCCAGGGTGCATGTTGAGAATGTTAACATTTTAGCACTAAGACACACGACGTTAATCATAATGAAAGGGAACAATGGTCTTTATATTGATAGTGGGCTTCACTGCTTCATATCTCAGGAAATTATACATAATTCATTTCCTTTCTTAAAACTCTAAAGTGTTTTATACAGGCTCTCAGGTGTTAATAGGAAAACTCAGCAACAATACCTCTTGCACACAGTGTGGGTTAGGCCCTCTCCATGGAGAGAGCAACACACAACAAGATTTTGCACACAAACCAGACAACTGTCATTGTGGTTGTCCAACCGCAGTGAGATGGCTCTTTTAGGTTGCTCACAGCATGGACTCACTAAAACAAACCTCCTAATGTGTTTAAATGGGTTTAAAGTGCTGTCTAAAGAAAGTGCATCTTAGCAGAACTTTTATATACGAACAAAAAAACACTTTCAGGAGGAAAGCTGCTTCACTCTGCCTGATGAAAATCATTCCCATCATTATTCATTCCAGTTTGTCCTGAATTGCGGCAGGATTGTGTGTAACAACCATTTTAAAATAACTCTCAAGGTCAATTTTACATTTATATTTTGTGTCTCAAAGCACAATTATTTATTTTTGTTTTGCATTCCATGCATTACTCAGCGTTTCTGCTGACTTCCACCTATGACCTTTGACCTATTTTCTCCCCGCTTAGTAGATATTGACACTCAGGATTATTTACGGCAAACCAGCTTCACAACTTCCTCATGATCTAATTTCATTGTATTATATGTGCATATGTTTATTTTTGTACTCTTGATCACACTTACAGTGCATCTAGCCTCAAAATGATTTGTGTCTAATGTGAACTAATACAGTAATACAAACATTACGTAAAGGGTGCATTGATTTTATGAGGAAGTTCTGACTAACAACATTGTATTTTTGAGGACAGTTGGGTTTGGTGTTAAATGTCCTCAACAAAAGAACGTTTTGTTTTGTTGCATGATAACGCTGGTGCTTATTGCCCTCTAGTGGCAGTACTGCTACAGTCAAATGATTGTTAAGACTGTTCATTTATTTTAAAAGCACAAAAAAGGACTGTATATATCTAAAATGATTTTTATAAACAAAAGTGAAACAAAACCAATCAACAATAAAACAGAAAAATAAACAGTTAATAGTGTTTGTTATCATGCCCAACTTGTGAAGATGCAGTGTAATTGAAAAACCATCAGCAAGGTTAATGAGATGTAGAATCTGTCAGTGTTCAGAGTGATTGATGAATCGCTGAGCTCCTAAGGTCCTCACAGGACTCATCCTTCAACCTGGACAGATGTATTCATGATTTAATACTTCACTTTCATGTTTCTCCCTTCTGAATCTCAGTTGGTTTCATCTTTATTACTTTTAAGTTCTCTTTTTTTCTCCCTCTTTCTTCACTCCCCCTCTTTCCCTCTGTCTCTCTCTGGAGGCTATTTTAATTATAGAGGGACTGTTATTTCATCTCGCAATTTTCTTTTATGTGAGCAAACATAACGTAATACTCCTCAGATGATTACGAAACTGTACTAAGATCTGTAATACACAGCAATGTTGGTCATGTTCAGAGGCTATTAATGAACTTATCATAAGGAGAGAATTAAAGTATAACCCAAGGGGGTAAAGGTCACGCAGGTTAACTTGGCATCATGGATTATTGAATGGGCAGTGGGAACCGAGGGTCGCTGAGGTCCCAGGGCTTAAAGATGACAAAAACAGCCCAATGGAGGAGGTCATTAGCTTGGGAACGCACGAGTTCACATGCTGCAATTATGTTTAAACCAGTCTCAAGTGGCTGCTCTTCACTCATGGCTGCATGTGTTTCTACTGCTAAAGCCCTCTGTGTTCATAGTTGTGTTTTTCCTGTATACATGACGAAACTTAGGAATTGTTTATCATTTGTACTTCATTCAAAGGTCACTATTATAGCAGCCGTCCTTCCGCCATGGGGTCATGGGCATCGAAGTAATTGAAATGATTTATTTTTTGATATATTATTTTTGGGCAGAGAATACCATTGGTGTTGTCCTGCATCTGACAGGACCTTGTCACCATGTCCTGAGGCCATGCATCCGGTTATAGCCAAGCTTTCAGTAGATATACTAAAACAAATAAAGGAGAGGTTAGACGAGCCTTCTGCTCATTCGCCCCGCGCCTCTGGAACTCCCTCCCAGATCAGCTGAGTTCTGCCCCTTCCACCGCGAGGTCTTCAAAACCCTCTTCTTTCGGCAGGCCTTCCAATAAACTTTGAGCATGGTACACCTGGAGTATTGCCATTTTGATCGCTATCTCCGACTTTTATTATATATATATATATATATATATATATATTTTTTTTTTAACTTTTTTATTATTATTACTATTATTTGTTTAATCTCTCAAATTGTATCAGTGTCCTTTGTTGTGAAGCGCTTCGAGATTTGCCTTGGCAGATGAGAAGCGCTATATAAATTAAATGTATTATTATTATTATTATTATTATTATTAGTATTGGCAAATAAATATCAACAGAAAAGGAAAAGCGAAGGTTGTTTCGAATCAATCAGTATCAGAAACTTGAAGTGAATAAAATGCCTGCAGTGTTACTAATGTGTCAACAGATGGCACCAGATGAGCAATTTATGATGGTGAGGAATCTTGATCAGACCAGATCATTTCCCTTCTATCATGTTGAGTTATTGCTGCTTGTATTCTGTTATATTCCCGATGACTGTTGGTCTCGATGTCTTGGCTGATTGTGTTTTGATCTAATAGAGAGTCATCTGATCAAATATAAGTCAATTCCCTCTGGAAAATATTTGAAAGGCATTCAAAAGTGACCAATTTAATACGTTTGCTTCTGTTCAACTGCATGCAGATTTAAGTATTGGAAGATGGAATTATTGCTTTCTCCCATCTCATTTTCTTGCGACCTGCTTCTTCCTAATCACTCTCCGTCTCTGTCTCTCATTTTCTCGCCGTCTCTCCCTCCCAGAGAAAATGTGGGCGTTTTTCTGTAGGTGGTTCTCTGGCAGAGCCTGAGCTCTATAAGGGAGCACAATATGTTGGGCTCGTAATCGCAGTAATGAACAGTTAGATCTGTGCCAGTTGTTTTCATAGGAAGAGTTAACAGACCAAAACTTGCAGCAGATTGTCCCAAATTGAAATGAGAAGTTTTAATTGAAGTGTTGTTTTAATTACATCTTTTGAAACGTAATTAACATTCTAAAACATTGAAACCCACTGACACAACTTCCTCAACATTATGAAGTATGGGGTGATCTTGTTTCTTAGAGCATTTTTAGATCAGTTAATGGGTTGTTGGTGGCGATGTCTTTAATGTGAGCCAAGAGCGGACGACCAAATAATCCCTCTGGCAGAGAGTAATCCACGCCGTCATGGGGCTTCCTAATGAGGACCTGAGAGCCCTTGATCAGCCTGAAAACACACACACACACACACACACACACACACACACACACACACACACACACACACACACACACACACACACACAGCTGAGCTGGCAATGGGCAACAATTCAATATGATATGTTTTCCTTTTTTCCTTTGAACTGTTATATTTATTATATTGAGATATGATGATTACATCGTCTGTAGTGATAATAACACCGAAAACAACTAGAATTTCACAGAAGAACTGATATGAAATATATAGATTCAAGTTATATTTTTCAGTGCAACTTTACAAGTTCAATGTGATTACAATAGTCTCCAACATTAGAGTGACAAGCTCTCTTCTCCAACCTTTTAACTGCCATTAATCCAAAATACAGTAACGCAAACAAATTAGGAAAATATAATATAAAAGAATAAGCTTTATTTAAAAAATATTTAAATTGACCTGCATTTGTTATGTTTATTTTGCATCTTCAGCTCTTATCCCATGAACAAGTACTGTACTTTTCATTTATGAAGTATTGAATTTGCAAAGATGTATACAAAATTAGGCTTTACCATGTGGTTATTTCATATAGACTATTTATTTATTCACCTGTCAAAACATGCAATATCTTGATAAATATGGTTATCCTATTACTTATGCTGTATCTTGTTGCATATCACATTGATTACATGAGTTACAAAAAGAGGGACATGTGTTACTTTATTTGTTATTACTTCACAATGAATAACAAACACGAACAATTCACAAGTGGTGGTTAAAGGTGTGCAGTTTACTTTTGATATAAAAAAGTTGATTATCTGATACAAATAAATGTTCTCCACTAGAGTGTGTGTGTGTGTGTGTGTGTGTGTGTGTGTGTGTGTGTGTGTGTGTGTGTGAGATAATGCAGTTCTCGCTACAATAGTGTAACACCAGGCTGATATCACATGATGTCACACACCCTCATGATGAGCCAAACTAACACTGGGAAATTGTAATCCTGTGAAGAAGACATTGTTTAATTATATCAGGCCCTAATGTGCATGCTATGCATTACTTCCAAGAAATCACTCAATAACACATGACGCTGTTGTGATCACTCTTATAAATACTGTGCTAACCCTGCAGACCAACAGCTGCTGTAAGAAACAATGTAACAAAGGTCATACAAGGTACAAGTCGTCTCTGTCTTAAGTTACAATGAAAAAAAGACAACAGGGGGTTCAACTAGCCTGCCCTTAGTGGGATTATACAACGATGCAAGGTCACAAATGGAGGAAAACAACTTTAAATAATGACAATAACTTGTTGGATGATCGAAAAAAGTACTATAGTTCTCTGGGCGTGTAGATGTCTGTACGTGCTGTACACGAATCACATCATGAGAGATGATCAGGAAAAGAGAAGAAGAGGACATGTAAAAGAAATGTTTAGACAGAGACTGAGAATTTTTCAGTATCAGAAACAAAAACAAATGATGGAAGCGAGTGGGAGAGAAGAAAATAGGTAGTTACAAAGCAACAAGGACATGGAGAGAGGAAAGATCTCTTTGCCTGTGTGGGTGTGTGTATGCGTGTGTGTATGCGTGTGCATATGCGTGTGCGTGTGCATGCGCATTTGTGCCTTCATGGTTGTGAGTACAGCGAGAAAGCTTCACATGGATGTTCGAGGATACCCATAAGAAATGATCTAGTTACCATGGATACAGAGGGTTAGGCTTTGGCAAGTGAACTCATAATAAAGTCCTGGAGACATCCAGATAATCAACACAATTCTCCTTCTGATGAAGAAAGATAACACATGCACAGATAAAAAAACATTTTGAACAGATGAAGAAGAAACAGAAATCACTTTGCAACCAGACAGAGTAATTATGGCAGCAAACCACTCTCTTCCATTAGAAACAAATGTTGAATACTTCAACTTAAACTGCTCCACGGGAACTGCCCACCAGACAAAAACGAGTTTAACTAGGCGAGCTCCAGGACTATTGTTTTTAACTCTCCCTTTCGTTAATCTCAATCACACATAATAGTCAG